ATTTATTTTAAAACAAAGGATATAGGACACAGGTCCTTATTTTTGGTCACTTCTAATGAGATAAGAATCTATGAAGCTCAGAGAAAAATGAGTCCGTGACCAAAATGCTTACTCAGTTACTATAGGAGATCAAAAAATATACTAAATCTGGACTATCCCAAGACAAAGCAATTGTTTTCTTGAAAAATATGTAGGGTTTAGAAAATTTCTGGGATTTATTGGTAAAAGCACCGTCTGGGCCCTAATAGTGACGTTGTAGGGAAACACTTACATATCGAGGTGGGAAGGACAGGAGGTGGCGTTTTGTGGGCTCCTATGGTGGTTAGGTAGTTCTCAGAAGACAGTACTGGAAATTAGATAATTGCTGATGTCATAGTTTTCACAATAAAAAAAAAATGTTGTCCTGGGGGCTATAAAAGCAGCAGTTTCTACCTTCCCAACACAAGCACAATCATCGACACAGGTAAGTGTTTCAACAAACTTACTATGATCGGTTTGTTTGGTGTGGTACTCCATGATACTTAATATTTTCCCTTTTTGTTCTTGTTCTGTTGATACCAGGTTCTCCTTCCCTGCTCACCAATTGCTCGAGTTAGAGTCATCTGAAATGGCCACACTGCAGAAATCTGTGAGCTTTTCCCTTCTGGGGACTCTGGCTGCCAGCTGCCTTCTTCTTGTTGCTCTGGCGGTGCAGGAAGGGGCCGCTGTGCCTATCAGGTCTCACTGCAAGCTTGACAAGTCCAACTTCCAGCAGCCTTATATCACCAATCTCACCTTCATGCTGGCTAAGGAGGTATGCATCTCAATCTCTCTCTCGTTTGCATTTTATCTACTTGGAACCTGAATAGTTCTTAAAAATTTCTTAAGAGTATATTTAAGATTTTAAGAACCCATCGTGTATCTCTACTGGCAGACCAAAGATCATTTTCTTGGTTTCTTTGGAGACTGGGCTTTGCCAGAAAACCTACCATTTTGGCCTTTAAAATACCTACACTGAAGTTAGCCCCAAAAGAAGCCATTTAGTAGCCCATCTGACTATCTGTTTATCCCTTTACCTCTCTGTTCATTATTTTAAACTCAGACATACATCTAAATTATTTCTTTAGTCTTTATGAGGCTCTTGTAAGTAGACGGGCTAAGATACATCTCTACTGACAGGCTTTTATTCCTATTTCCAATGTCCAAGCATTTAGTCTTTTCTTCTCTTCCAGGCTAGTTTGGCAGATAACAACACAGATGTCCGTCTCATTGGGGAGAAACTGTTCCGCGGAGTCAATGTAAGCCGTAGTTGTGATGAGTAGGGCAGTATGCCATCCGTGGTTATTTGGAATAATGGTGATGATGGTTTGGGTCTTCTGACTGCCCTCTAATACAATCCCTGCTGCTTCACTTTCGCTTGCAGATGAGAGAGCGCTGCTATCTGATGAAGCAGGTGCTGAACTTTACCCTTGAAGAAGTGCTGCTCCCCCAGTCTGATAGATTCCAGCCCTACATGCAGGAGGTGGTGCCCTTCCTGGCCAGGCTCAGCAACAAGCTAAGCCAATGCGTAAGTTCTTCTCCCAGGCTAAAACCACCCACTCCTAGTTACCTGCTTTCCTTCCTTCTTTCATTTAGAGCCCTTTTCTCCCAACACACATTGCCCCCTCCCACGCTGGCTGTAAGAGGTGCCTCAGCAAAAACGCCATGATGGGAGTCATTTGTAATCACAGAATATATATATATTTTTTAATTCAGTCACATTTTGAGTTTATTATGATGGATGGGGTCTGAAAGACAAGCGCATAAAAGGCTCATTTGTCCCTGGGAAAAAGCAACTCAGGTTATGTAGATGAAAAAGGTGTTGGGAGCTTTAAGGAAGAATGCCTATATTTGGAAATGAATCTGCCAAGTATAAATTGATAAAGGGAGGGTATGGGGAAGAGAGGAAAAGGGACATGGGAACTTTTAGTGTTCTGTTATGGGTGGGCAAAGATTCCTGCCCTTTTGATGTCGTAGGAAGTGATAAAATCAAAGGTGTGTGAACTCTATGCCTCTAAACATTTAAAACTATGAGAAAAGGTTTGAGTGAAGTGGGCAGAGCAAAGGGGACTTAATATTTGTTGAGGGGGCCTGCTGTTCATATAAGGCATTTTGTATGTTTCTTATTCTGAGCATGCATTTTTGGTGAGGTACATTTAGGGCTTTAATCTTGACATAATTTGCATAAACCTCTCCACTCTTTCTACGAACTTAGATCTCAGTAGAAGTTCCCAAAGGTGAAGAGAGGTCCCATGTAAAGGAAATGACTGGATTTTGGTGTCCAAGGGAATTCAAGAGCTCAGAAAATCTAGGTCACTGGTGAAATCTAGGTCATTGTGCTAGATAAGCAAAAATGCTAAGAACTTTCAATTGCAGGTGAATTGTAACATACCTCAGTTAGGGACGCTGAGGTTCATAGAGCATCAGTACAACAATGTTGAAATAATTACTCTGTTTTTCATTTGTAGCATATTGAAAATGATGACCAGCATATCCACAGAAACGTGCAAAACTTGAAGGACACAGTGAAAAAGGTACTATTAATAACTATTAATGCTAAGTCATTAAATAGGAGAGAAAAATGTTTTCTTTGTCTTTCCTTCCTTTTACCCCTCAAAGTTGTGACACTGTACTTCATTCTCCTACCATTGGATTGACAATTTAGGTGCATATGTAGATAGATGTGTCTATGTATTTATAAAGAAATTTCAAAATTTTGCAAATCATAGAATTCTAGCACTGGCTGGGAAATCAGGTCGCCTAACCTCATCACCCCATGTTCTGGGGACAGAACATGTCCAGTGGCAGTCCCAGGGCTAGAATGCAGCTTTCCTGCACTGTATCCAGGCCAGCGCTCTTCCAGCAGCAATGTGTATTAGTTTTAGTATTTCTTAGGGAAATGTAAGGTTCCTACTGATTCATGTAGTCTGAAGATGCATTCGTTCAAAAACAGAAAGGGGCCTGGGAACAAATTTATTTGAAGTGATGTTTGAGGCCATTCACTTGATGACTTAAAAGTTGGAGACATAAACCCAGAATAACCATAGCAAAAGAGCTGGACTTGCATATAGGATGAATTTCTGGAATGACTGACACTGATATTTAATTATCATAATATAATACTCAAAAAGCTATTGATTTTAATCTAAAAAGCAAGATGGAACAGTTCCCCATTTCCTTTATACAGTTTGAAATAGAATGAAAATATTAACAATGGATTTATTATAGTGAAATGGAAGTCAAAATGGAAGTCTTTTCTTCCCCTCTCTCTCCTCTTTCCTTTCTAACCTTCCCCCTATCTCAATAACCCCCTACTGAGCACCTGTCTGGTGTAAGCTAGCGTATATTTCCACAGTGAATGATACCGGCATGTGGCCTATTTGGGGAAAAGAACAACAGTAGAAGGCTCAGACTAGCAATTGTGACTCATTCAAAAACAAGAGGACTGATTAGTAGCAGCGAAAGTGATGCTCTTGCAGACAGGTGCAAGTAAACCTCAGAAACATGAAGGCTCTAGCTGATGAAATTTTCAGTAACAAGCATAACCACAATTCCTCCTTTTTTTCCATCTTGATTTTTTTAAAAAGCATTTCTTCCTGGGTATGATTTAATGAACATGACTGTTTCT